CGCTCGAAACTCTATTTTTGGTGTCACTTTGGGACACGACTGACCATCACGATTACGCAAAAGGACGATAAAGCGATGGTATCCAATATAAAACGCCCTTGAATCGCCGTATTGGAAAAACAACCTAACTCGCTTCTATAAAACGTTACGTAACGACGACGCGACGTGCGAGTCTTCTTCTTCTTCTTCTCTCCGCGCGCGCCTCGCAAAACAATTAATCCATTCTCTTCATCTACTCTCCGATAAATATCTTTCATTATTTCCTCGTTAGTTATCACCGTTCGGTCGTATCGTTTATATGTTGATGGATGGCGAGCGATAAACAAGGTTTAATCTAAGTGCTCTTCGAGAGAGACACGCACACCGAGTGGGCGTTCGAGGATTTTCCGGGGGCGAAATTTTTCTCTCGCGAATTCTTCCTCCCGTATTAAAGTTTTTTTTTTTTTTGCAAATAATATAATCCGTAAAAAAATTACTCGTAGACGTATATCGCTCGTTTCTTATTTGCGGTTAAGGTGCAAAATATCGATCGCTCCCCTCGGCAAATAACGCCCACGCTCCGTAAGTGACACTTGAAAACGCGCGTGCAACGGAATAACGCGCGTCAAAGATTGCAAAATATACGCACGTATGGTATTTTTTTCATACGAATCGGGCTTAAATGGTGCGCAAAATTAATTCGGAGAGACGATAACGCGCGTCATTCTAAGATCAAATCTTTGAAAAATCGCGTCTCCCGGCCCGTCAAAGCGGAAACGTAAAATCGCAAGTGCACAAAACACACGTTGGTTCTTCACACGATAGAAATTTACAATTTGATCATTCGATCGTCTCAAGAAGTACATAAGTGAACCGCAGAAAAAAATCACATTTTTTATACAAAGAAGCTCGAAATTCGAGAAATATATTTCTAACAAACTTTCATTATTTTTCTTTATTTCACAATCACACGCGTAATGAATTTTGTTTTAAAACAAAACATTGTATAAAAATATATTTCGAGAAACTTGAAACAATTACCGCGAAATAGTTTTGACAAAACTACGCGGCCGCAGAGTTAACAAGTTTACGTTCAATTATATTTTCGCTAACTTTTTCCGCCCGCTGCTGTCGACTAAAATTGTTGTCTGTTTCATCGTACAGTTTTCAGTTCGAGAATTTTATCATCAAGGAAGACAAAAGACCATTATGTGTATTCAGAAAGCAAAAATCTCGGATGAAACTTTTTGTAAAAAATATATGTTTTGATCTCTCTCTCTTTCTCTTTGTCTCTCTTTCTCTCTCTCTCTCTCTCTCTCTCTCTCTTTCTGTTCATCCAATTTATACTTTCTATAAAGTACATCTGAGTGTATACTTGAATAACGCGACGCTACGGACGAGCGAATATACTTCTACGTTCGACCATGTATGTAACAGGTGAATATCGGCATTCGCATGACAAGTCGCGGAGCGACTCGCACGATAAAAACTCATTGGGCGTCCGATAAGTAGTTCTATTTTTTTCTTTATTTCCCGTTCGCCTTTCTCTCGTCGGTCACCCGGCAAACACACAGGATTTACTTATTAGGCTGGACTCTGCGCGTGGACACGAATGGACACATTTTTATTTCATGCGCGCTGCCGAAATATTAATGCACACACACATAAACACACACACACACAAAAGTGTGCCACGAGTAGTAGGAAAAGGTTGGAAACCGCTGTGCGATAGTATTTATCGGATGAGTCGTCGTGTCGGGATTTGTTGCTGCGCACGCCGCTTTCTTTTTCACCGAATACGCGGCTATCTCGATACTCGAGTCAGAGAGTGTCAACTTTCTGTCAGCCAGTCGCGCCACGTTCGGACACGTATTAGAAATCTCACGTGTGAACATCGTGCGGACGACCGCGTTCGCATCTGTGCGAGGACCAGCAAGATGCTTTTGTTGTTTTATTTACGTGCGTTTTGAAACGCGCGAATACTTCGTCTCTTTTTGGTTTTCCGTCTTTCCCTCTCTTTCTCTCTCTTTCTCTCTCTCTGTCTCGTTCTCTCGAGGAGGTAAAGGTGACACTCTCATGAGGTCGCCGATAAAATGGACGAACGCGATAATGTGTTTTCCGTCCAATAACCGCAAGATAAGGTTATCGCGTTCGCAAATCGCAAGTGTGTGGATCCTCATTCTTCACTCGTGCGGGTCTACAGTTAAACGCGATATGACAAGAAGAAAAAAAAACTTCGCTCTTTGCATTATTTATTATTCCGTCCGCACTTTTGGCCTTTTTTTTTTCGGTGCTTTTCAACGCGCGAGATTGTAAATTCTCAAACGAGAAAAGCCGAGCGCGGTGAAACAAAAAATAGAAAGAACCGCTGCACGTTTGAAGATAAAAAAATAAAAAACAAAAAAATGATTCATCGATCAACGCGGTGAACTCTTCGAGTAAAATTAAATTGAACGTGAATCCGACCCGATCGACCTCTCAACGGCGCGGACGATTCGCAAGATGCGTAACGCAAGACATAGAACGAATAGCCAATCGACGCTGTAGGCCATTTACCGGCAGGAAACAATCAGTCGGATATGTACAACGTACGTTGCATGCAACCTTGCACTTGTAACAATACTGCGCATCTCTTGCGCACGTAGCGCGTTGCGTTCCTCGATCGAATACGAAATAGTATCTGTGATATTTCATTGTGATATATCGATTGTCAACGCTGATATTATGAAATTACGTTATGAAATTAAAATGAGTGTGTTATATTTTTATAAAGAACGAAATCACACGCACACACACACACACACAAACAGGTTAGCAGGCGACGTTATCGTTAATATTTCTTTGTGACAAACCTAACAAAGTATTTTTGGAGACACATTTTTAATTAGTTGCCAATTAACTTAAAAAGTTTCCAATTTTATATAAAACTGTTTGTGTGATTTTAATTAAATTTCTTTATAATTAACGTTCGGTCATTTTTGAAGACATTTAATTAAATTATTTCCAACTCTACGTAATATACTTTGTTATATTATTTCTTTGATAAATGTCCGGTGTCACACATTGGGACACTTACCTCATACCGCCCTCAAAAATCGGGCACACAGCAGCACACACAGAATCAGACTCGGAGCTGTGCGAAATCAAACGACGATCAGACTTTAAAAAAATTCAAATCACGTCTAGTAAGTCTGTCAAATATATTTAGCCGCAACATTGTGTTGAACAAAGTTTTGTTGCGTTCGATAAAAAATAAGTTCCTTTTTCTTCTGGGAAGAGAAATTATTTTCGCACTTCGCACGCGGAATCGCCGAAAATCGCGAGCGCTCTTGTTGTCCCCCGACACTGACATTTAAAAATATATACATGTGCGCACATCCTTCCCACACCGATAGAACAGAATTGCGGTTTTTACCGCACATATGCGCTGAATAATTCAAACTCCGAGAGATAAGTTACAATTTTTACATACGAAAGAAGCTCCGTTTATCAAACGTATTATATTTTCAAATACGCTAACGTTACTTTTTGTGCGGCGAGATATACGGGAATAAAGCGAATATATTTAACGGTTCTCTTATACTCGAAGCTATTCAAACACGTCCGATGTATGTATATGTACGCACACACAAAGATACCGCCGCGCGTGTTTTACCAAAAAACTCCGGTGTAATAAATAATTTATCGCAATCTGTCGGAGACGAGGAGAGAATTTTAGAGAAATTTTGAAACATCGCAAAAGGAAAACATTATCGCGCACACGTGTGCGTGTGTGTGTGTGTGTGTCTACGTTCGTTTCGCGAAAAATTTATTAAAAAAAATTTCGCGTTTTACGCGCAACAAAAAGTAGTGTCGCCGCACGGGTTGCGCATTATATCGTCGCGCGCCGCTATGTCGTGACTCCGCAACAAAGTTTATTCGGGCGCGAGTTATCGAGGTAATGTAAAATCTCGTCGGCGATCTCGCGCGCGCACAAATATTCTACACACACACACACACACATACACGCGCGCGCGCGCGTACACATCTCCTCTCTTACATCTCATCTCCCTCTCGTCTCGTCCCGATATAAAAAAGAGTATCGGAATCGTAAGGCGCCAGTTGTAAGATCCGATATCGCGCAACCGCGCAACCGCGGAGCTCGGACGTAAAAACCAACAGAAACGGAGCGGCCTCACCGAGACAACGTACCTTTTCGAGACGAAAAAACGACGTTGCGGTGGCGGAGGCGAGGTTGGCACCTCGTCAGTAGGATTCCGCGAGTGTTGACTTTCGCGAGCTGCGGAATTCCAGAGCGAGGGACTCTCTTTTTTCCTTCCCTTTCCCCCGTGAGAGAGCGTCTTCCTTCTTCGCGCGTTGCCGCAACCGCTACCGCCGCTACTCGCGCAGCACACGGGAACGAGAACAACGGGCGAGCGTGTGTGTTGCTCGAATTTTAAGACTCCGGGCGGGCGCGTCGACCGGCCGCGCGGTCGGCGAATAATGAAGAACAAAAAAAAAAAAAAAAAGGAACGACAGACAGAAGGCAAAGAGAGTCGACGCCTGTTTGTTCGCGCGTCCTTGGCGCGACACGTCGCGTCGTGGCGCTTCCACCAGCTTCCACGACAGACTACCGTGCACACCGCTCGCGACCGTGCCGCACCTCCTGTGATAACTGACACATTCAAACCGTCGAGATACCATTACAGGCAACACTTTTACGGAAGCGTACGAAAAATTCGTCGGTCGCTAACGCCCTCTCGGTTCGAAACGACGCGGTCGTTCCGAATAAGAAACGTCGCCGACCGACGTAGAAGACGCGGTCTACACGATAATATTGCAGGAAAAAAAAATATTATTGTATTTTTATCGCAAGAGGGAAACATCCTGAATGAATTTTATTCATTGCGTGCGCGCGCATCCGCGTTAATTTAATTTCATCCGAAATTGAGACAGTTTTGTCATTAAATGCAACAAAATACTACACACACACGGAGATGCGCGTGTGTGTGGTGCATAGTACACGCAAATTAAAATTATTTTATTCTAGTATGTATTTTTCAAAATTATTCTTTTGATATTTGCTACTTTGTTCGATATCGATCAGATTGAACTTTTTTACCGCCGACGTCCTGATGTCGCTACATAGTTCCCACGTCCGCAAAAGTGGATTGTACGGCGCTGAAACCAGCGCCGGAATCCGTGTTTCCATCGTCTCTCCCTAGGTGGTCTCCGGACGCGTCCGGGAGCGCACGAGAGTTCACGGAAGTTGTCAAGAAAAATTCTTGCTCGTATGTGCGATTAAAAAAAAAAAATGATTAATTCGCGTTTGTTTGTCGCGTCAGTTGCGAATTTGTTGAACAATCGCGGACTGACGAGGAGGTATGTAAATCGTAAAGTTACCCCAAACCTTCTTTTCCTCGACGTTTCTAATCCCCATGTGCGGTCGCACATGTGTGACGTAGCCTCTCTCAAACGTGTGTTTACAAACTTTCAGATTCAACTTGGCAATCGTTAAAAGGGAGTACAGTGTCTTTCCAAATTACTATATTCAACCGAAATTTAGAAAAGATGCGCAAGACGCTCTGTTTCAGAAAGAGAACGAAGAGGCGAAGGAGATCGCCCACAAGCAAATAAAACCGGCAACGGTGATCGACACATGTTCCGAGTTCTACGACGCCAGAGTGATGTAAATTTCTCTCAACAAAAAACTTCTCCTTCGCGCATTTGTTTTCCTTGTGCTGATTTTTTGTGTAACTTTTTTTTTTTTTTTATAGAAAATTCACCAACACTCTGATGAAAAATGGAGATAGAAAATTGGCAACGGCATTGATGAGCAAAACCTTCAACAGAATCAAGAGGTTCCAACTGGAGCGTTATCACAAGGCGAAAACGGCAGAGGAGAAAGACAACGTCGAACTGGATCCGTTGGTGGTTTTTCATCGCGCTCTCGACAATTGCACGCCCATTTTACAATTAGTACCGTGCAGGAAAGGTGGAATAACGTATCAGGTATAACACATGGTGTCACAGATTAATTTGTATCAATTTAACAAACAACAGTCAAAACTAACCGGATTTCTGTCATTTTAGATACCCGTTCCAATTACAGAAAAATTGGCGCAACACAAAGCCATACTGTGGCTGATAAGTGCTGCAAATGAGAAGGATAGAAATGCGAGATTTTACGACGCTTTAGCCAGAGAGATGATAACCGCTTCTATGAATCAGGTTTGTTGGTTGCAATTTCGATTTCTGCGAAAGTTCACATCAAAACGCGTTGCATATTGTAAATGTAATTTGTGTGACGCAGGGTCGCGCGGTCAATTGGAAGCAAGAGCTGCACAAGAGGTGTCAAGCTAATCGGGCTTACGCGCACTTTAGGTGGATGTAATAAAGGGACAGGCACAGGTACACACGTGTACATAAATAAAATGTTCAATTGTTTGACGTGGCACTTATTTATACAAACTATGTACATTAAATAAATTTATATGTATATTATCAAATTACCATTCCTAGAACACATCTAAGAGCTTGAGTGTCGAAAATTTGGCCCTGTTTAACGAGTATCTTTAGCTTTGACTTTTGCGAGGAAAACATCACTCTGTTGAACAGATAGTCGGTCACGCTGAACTGATTGTCTGACACGGGGAGGATATTGACCTGACTGATCTTGAGATCCACTCTTCTTCCCCAGTAATCCACGTAAGATAATATCACTATTCCGTTACTGGGATGCAAGTATATGTGACCAATCAGATTGTTGCACACAATGCCGAGGGAATGCAACCACACGGTCAAAATAACTCCTGTGGATGAAGCGAGAAAATAAATTAAATTGCGAGACATACATGTAGATGCAATTACTTTTAATATATTACATTGAGACATATATCCGCGTGTAACTGATGACTCTAGATAATTAAGATCAAAATTAGTGTAGACATTTACCAGCTGCTACCGTCGCGACAGACATGTCGGTGCTCAGGATCTCAGCCGTGTGAAGCGCGTAAACCGCCGGTACGGTCAGGGAGGCGAACATCGTGAAGTGACGTTTTATTTTGTTCACGGCACTGACGAGTGTGATGCGGGGAAACGTGTAGATCACCTTGAAGTCGGGAAATTTCGCCGAGACGATCTCCGTCGATTCCTCATTTTTAACCACGACGTGGCTCAGTCTGCTGACTTGGGTTCTGATGTCGGTCAACGCGCGACACGAGGATCGTTCGCAAATCCTCGTCAGCAGTCGGGAATACATCGGGGCGCATCGAAGATTCGCACGACGGGGGTTCTCGCGACAGCGCCCGATTTTCGCGGAACGCGAGGAGGTTGGAAACACCTTTAGGGTGGATTTCGTTCGACGAAGCGATCGCAGGCCGGATTTGCAACGGCCTGACGTTTATTGGTCGATTCGACCGATCGACCGTTGGGATTGGTCAGTTCCGACAGATCGGCCGAGTCGCCTCGAATCGGCGAAATCGGTCACGAGGCGTTCGTTTTGACAAGAGGATGACGGACGTCGCCGATTCCGCGAGTGTATGGTCTGGGTGTCGATCGTCGTCGCGGCTCCGCGTGCGCGTTGTTGCGCAAATATTTCGCGTCGGAGAGAAAATTTTTCTCGGAGCGCGACCGCCGCTCCGGAGGAGGCGTCTGCTGGGCTCTCACTCGCTTGCGCATGCGCGACTCTTCTCCCTTTAACTCCCGTCACCGCCGTTAGCCATGTTCCACAAACGGATACGTAGCAGCAGGCTTATCGTGCGAAAATGAGTCTCGCGGGCGTGAGAACCGATCTGTCGTGCAATCGGTCGCGACGACGGTAAAAGGGAAGCGTCCGTGTTTTTCGCGGCGCAAGTGGCATGTGTTCGCTTTCCTGGCGGGACATCGCGTGCAACGACGACGACGGTGGTGGTCGGAGGCGGTGGTGGTGATCTCCGCGGGCGAAAACGGCCCTTTTTCTCGGCGTCGGCACGCGACGGAGTCTGTGTGTGTCAACGGACCTGAGCGAGAGCCCCAATGGAGCCGCGTCCTCTCGCCGTCCTGTTGTTGACTCTACTGACAGCGCTCGCGAAGGGTAAGTATTTTTTTTTTTTTTTCTTGTCTCCCTCGCCGCGGCGTGTTGTTTGTTTTTTTGCGACGTAGACGTTCTCGGCGTGGACGCGCGCGTTCGTGCGAATCTTCGTTCCAGGTAATCAATCGGAGGGGAATCACACGCGTTCCCCGGCGATAAGCGGCGGGGGCCCCCCTCGAGCTTTATTGTTGTTATCTGCGAGATGACGATCCCCGATCTGCGTTACCACCGATAAATATCGCGCGCCGAACAAACCGGTGAAATCCGCGCCGCGTCTCTCGGCACACGTTCGTCCGGAACCGAAAGTTCGTCGACAAATTTTTCAACGCGTTCGCGCGGAAAATTCGTCTCGCTGGTCTCGCGCGACTGACCCGTTAACTGGCGCGCGACTCCGATTCCGCGGCGAAAAGCCGATCCCCGCGAGATTCGCCGCAACAACAAAATTGGAGTCGATAAGTTATTTAAAACACACGTACGTATGTGCATCTCGGTCGCATCGCACGTCTCTTCTTTGTGTGTTCCGGACGAAGTGGTGAGCGTGTTCGTGAGGCGTTTCGACGGCAATGAGAAGAGAAGAAAGAGAGAAACGAGCAAAACATCAAGTTTGCGGGTTCGCCGGCGAGTTTTTTATTTTTTTTTTTTTTTACTCATTTATTCACCGAAGAAAGATTTCGCACCTGAAAAAAGATCCCATTCTCAGTGTGTGTGTGTGTGTGTGTATGTAACATATCCATTTGTTTTTATTCTTTGCAAAACGAAACGGATTCTCTCGATCGCGAGACCGAGCGAGATGATGCGAGCGAGCGAGCGATGAAATACGAGTCCCATCGGGCTTAATTGAACTACCAAGAAGAAGGGACTGATAATTGTACGAACACACACACACACACATACACACACATATTTGTTCTACGTAGAGAAGGTGTAATAAGTACATCGACATAAATTGGCACAAATATCAACCTCCTCTTCGAGAACAAACGCTTCTTGCGAAGCGTCCGATTTTTCTTTAAGGCGCTTGAATCGATTGGGTTTTTTTTTTTTTTTTTTTTAAGATTCGCGTATTTGCGAGAACAAATTAACACTCGTTCTGTTCGAGTTCGCCGCAATGATCGCGGCGATGAATTTTAATCATCCCGCAAGGCTGCGTTTCTCTCCGATCGACTCTTTAAATACGGATTCAAGTACGTAGATTTATTTTCAACGCGTCGGAGAGATCGCGATCTTTATCCGATTATTTCTCGCGCTGTTGTCTCATTGACGCGCGGACTTAGCGAGAGAACTCGTGTCACCGCAATCCCATTGCGCGTTAACGCACACACACGCGCGCACGCACGCACACGGATCGCATACAGGGAGCGCATTTTCAGGAATCACGTACAGAAATCGTTTCACGACCTGAATTATGCGTGTCAGCTGCGTGAATTTGCATAATTCGATTGTTGTTGCGCACCGGCGACGCACCTTGCCGAGGGAAGTCGAAAGAGAGTTGAGAGACCCTGGCGCAACGGGTGACTATTATTGATGCAGGCAGCGAAGAGAGAAAGAGGGGGCGACCGGAGAGAGAAAGATTGCGTCTGTATAACGCCACGGGGAGAGCGCACGAGGGTTTACTTCTTTCTCGTAGTAGTAAGTTTCCCATTGCGAGTATCGCCGAGATGAATTGATTCGCGGAATTAGCACCTTGTCACGTTCAACGCCTCTCTCTCGTCGAGCGGTTGCGAAATTAATCGATGTTTAAACGAATATATCTGCCGTTTTTTTTTTTTTTTTTTCTATTCTAGAGATCGCGAAGCGCGTTTAAATCCTCTTATTGTCTCGTCGTGCTTGCTTTTACTCGGCACGTGAACACCTTCGCTTTCGCGAAGAAACGCGCTCGAGAACGCGGAACCAACCGCGAGAGATCAATTGAGAGACTCGCTCGATTAGAGTTTACTCTAATTACAAGCGACGTGGCGCAATTAGTTCCCGTATACGTCACGACGGACTAATAGAGATTTTTTGATACGTCGGGAGAAATGGAAGAGACAAAAGAGAGCACGCGAAATCGATGTTGCGTTACGTACACAGTTGAGTTTTGTCGAACACACGACAGCGCGTCTCCGGCGCGCGACAATGGGACGCGGTGCCAGTGCCCTTCAAGTAATCGCGAGCGGACGACATAAATTGACGTCGCCCGGAGAGAAGGGGGTCCCCCGCATTGTTGCGAGTTCGCGTCCACGTATTAAGGATTCAACAACAACGGCGGAGGGTTTTACCGTGCTGCGAAGAACGTTCGCGAGAAGAGAAGGAGAGAGAAAACGCGTTCTCTCGGGTTTTTGTTGCACGGGCGAGTCGCGCGCGCGGCGCGGGTTTATCGCGCTCGCAAATCGCGCGCGCGGTAAACATCCGAAACTCTCTCGCTCTGTGTGTCCGGCGATGCCTATCTCCGCGACACGGCGAGAACCGTGTGATGATGACGGTCGCGCGCGAGAATCGAGTTTTCTCTCTTTCTCTTTTTCTCTCTCTCTCTCTCTTCTCTTCTCTTCTCTTCTTCTTGTGTATCTTGGCGCCGCCGCTCGCGTTCCTCGTCCTTTTCCGCGATGCACGCAACGGCATTATTTTGTGCGAAATCTCCTCCTCCGCGGCACGTGTGCGCGAGAACAAGCGCCGTGTGTTCGCCTCGTATATTTAGAATTTACGTAGGGCGCGCGCGACATTTTCGAATTTTCCGTAGCGTAGCTTGAAAATAATTTGAAGAAGCGAGAAGAATTACTGCGAGAAAAAACTGGTCTCTTGTTTCGCCAAAAACAATATTTTGTTATGGCGCAAAATATTCAATAGAGTTGGCAAATTTTGTTGTTGGTTGTATTGTATAAATAGCAAAACTTTTCTCTTCGCGAATTACACCTCGCTTCGATGTCATCTCAGGCGTCTGCAATGTGATTTCCGCGGAAAAGCCCACGACGATTGAAAAAAAATAGCCGCAATACTAGCGAGAAAAATCTCTCGTTGCGCTTTTCGGATTTTGCCTCGTCGAAGTCGCGTCGAAATTCGACGTGGAGATTTATTTTTCCGCTTGAAAAAAAAAAAAATGAGAGAATACGCTCTCTTTAGAATTTCCTTCGTCTTCGACCACTCGCGTGGTCTCTTTGTTGTTCGGTTTTCCGCGCGTGTTCGGAATCGCCTCGCGCCGCCGTGCCACTCGATCGCCGTGTGCCAGTGTGGTATCGGTGAAAGCCACCGGCATCTCTCGCGCGAATTATTCCGTTCACGCGACTGTTCTCGCGCACGTATCTGGTCGCCGTGTTAAATGTTGCATTACGCGACGACGACGCGGACACCGCTCGTAATACGCGTTACCCGCTCGTCGTCGTCGTCGTCGTCACACATTTTTCCACTTCCAGGTCGTTACGAATCTCTTTGCCGCTAGTTTTCCCGCGATATACGTCGTCGAACAACGCTTATGTAACACGATACGATATATATTTGTTTTACCGGTCGCGTCAAAACAAAGCTTGCGATACGGAGAAAATTTATTTACATTACGCTATTGCAGGCAACATCAGAGAAAAACTGCCACCAAGCGTGTAACCCTTAAAAAAAAAAAAAACACGATATAAACTAATCTTTAAACTAATATTTAGTTTAAAGAAAATAACAGAAAAACTTAGAAATTATGAGCTAGTGTATAAGAATCGGCATAAGATTGTTATTACAAAAAACTTTGATTTATTTATCTCGCAAAGGTCTTATACAATTCCTTTTAACAGATGTTACTTACAACGTATGTATATGTTCGCAACGATTTTTGACAATACTTGAGTTTTATATGATGCTTGAGATTGACCGCGGCGTGGTGGCTTCGGATTTGAGACTGACTTGACCGTGCGGAGTCGGTTTATGTAGATCAGATTTTGTAAGTTTTCTTATTTAGAATTTTCATGGTCTGTTGGATTATCGTCTGATCAGAATAATGTGATCAAAACATTTTCTTGTGTTTGGAAATTTTATAGGAACACAACTGCCCGCCGCATTTCCTGTGTCAAAAAAAAAAAAAATCGCCTCTAAAAGACATTCCGAAGGATCGGTGGTGCGTCATGGTTCTTATCGTTAATTGTTTATTCTATGAAAGCGTTCCCGAGTCTAACGCGCGACTAACAATAAGTTAGACAATGGTCGCAATTGTTATGTGTGAGACAAAATGTCCCTTGATAAATTTTTCAGTCACAAAAGAGATGAGGGGGACGACGCAGCTCGAGCTGCGTGTTGTAATAAAAAATTACCCGGCGCAAAAGGAAAGAACTGTGAAATCCAGCGGGACGCGATGAATAGGACGGTAAATTCTGTGATTTAGCGGAGACGGTGAACCGCAATAAAAGTCAAGGTTTTTTAACGAAGCAAAGCTCGTAAATAAGGAGTAGTTTCAATCTCGGCAAAAGACACAACACAAATATTTTCGTTTACGCTCTTGCGCAAGATACTTTTCCTAAATTTTGCCGCAAATTTTCGACGTATTAATTTTCTCTCGTCTAATGTTGACGTTTCTTTTTTTTTTTTTTTCAAATTATTCACATTTGGACAACGTTCGTTATTTTCTCACGCTTCCACCGAGAGAACGGCTTATCGCGGCTTTTGGGTAAATAACGTCGCGATGTTAAAATGATGCCGTTCCGTTTCATCGAAACGCGCGCGCTCAATATGCCCGACGTAAAAGATCCGTTTCCGGTCGATCGGGGTGGTAGAAGTGTCCAACAATGAGAGAGACACACGGGGGGGTTTCTGTCTCGGCTGAGAGAAAGAGAGAGACCGTCTGTTCAAATAAAACCTGTTATCCCCAGCTCGGCGGCAGAAACTTGTCCTGTGCCGACATGCCGCGGAATAATTATGAGCCGTACAAATAGTAGACCGTCATGTACTTTAAACGGCGCACAATGGCGCGCCGGTGCGCTCCTAATTTCCGTTCGTCCGTCCGTCCGTGCATAATGCGTCTTTTCCGTCAGATCTGTACAAAAAGAGAGATC